GATGTATACAACATTACCTCAGTATGTAGAATACATACTCAGTGATGTAATGACACCATTAACTCAGTGATTATACACATTTCTCATGATTATGAAACATTACTTCATGATGTATGACACTTACTCAGTGGATGTATGATACATAACTCATGATGTATGACACATTACTCAGTGATGTATGTACATTACTCCATGATGTATGATACATTACTCAGTGAGTATGATACATTACTCTTGATGAATGACACATAACTCATGATGTATGACACATACTCATGGTATGTATGATACAATACTCAGATGTGTGATACATTAGTCAGTGATGAACTGACCACATATACAAAGTGATGTATGACACATTACTCAGTGATGTATGATACATTACTCAGTGATGTGTGATACATTACTCAGTGATGTATGATACATTACTCAGTGATGTATGATACATTACTCAGTGATGTATGATACATTACTCAGTGATGTATGACACATTACTCAGTGATGTATGATAACATTTCTCAGAGATGTATAACATTACTCGTGACGTAATGACACATTACTCAGTGATGTATGACACATTACTCATGATGTAGGACACATTACTCAGTGATGATAGTGTAACATTACTCAGTGATGTATGATACATTACTAAGTGATGTATGATACATTACTCAGTGATGTGTGATACACTACTCAGTGATGTATGATACATTACTAAGTGATGTATGATACATTACTCAGTGATGTGTGATACACTACTCAGTGATGTGTGATACACAACTCACGATGTATGATACATTACTAATTGATTATGAAACACTACTACAGTGATTTGTTATACACTCCTTACTCGTGATGTGTGAACACTACTCAGTGATGTTGATACACTACTCAGTGATGTATGATACATTACTAAGTGATGTATGATACACTACTCAGTGATGTGTGAGACACTACTCAGTGATGTGTGAGACACTACTCAGTGATGTGTGAGACACTACTCAGTGATGTGTGAGACACTACTCAGTGATGTGTGATACACTACTCAGTGATGTATGATACATTACTAAGTGATTAAAGATACACTAACTCCCGTGAAGTGTTGAGACACTACTCAGTGATGTGTGAGACACTACTCAGTGATGTGTGAGACACTACTCAGTGATGTGTGAGACACTACTCAGTGATGTGTGAGACACTACTCAGGAAGTGGGTGAAGACATTACTCAGTGATTTGGTGAGACACTACACAGTGATGTGTGAGACACTACACATTGATGTGGAGACACTACTCAGTAATGTGTGAGACACTAACTAAAACATGTGAATGTGTTCTACATTAACATTGATGTGTGAGACACTACTCAGTGATGTGTGAGACACTACTCAGTGATGTGTTATACATTACTCAGTGATGTGTGAGACACTACTCCAGAGATGTGTAGACACAACTCTTGGATTGTGAGACAACTACTCCCAAGTGAGGTTGAGACACTACTCAGTGCTGTGTGAGGACACTACTCATTGATGTGGAGTGAACTATCATGATGTGTGAGACACAACTCCAGTGATGTGTGAGACCTACTCAGTGATGTGTGCGACACTACTCAGTAATTGTGAGAACGCCTACTCAGTGATGTGATATACATTACTCAGTGATGTGTGAGACAAAACTCAAGATGTGAGAAATACCCTACTCAGTGATGTGTGAGACACTACTACTCAGTGATGTGTGAAGAACACTACTCATTAATGAGGTGATACACTACTCAGTGATTGTGTTATACATTACTCATTGATGTGGTGAGACACTACGCAAAATTGGGGGGGAATTTGTGGGGGTGAGAACACTACTTAGTGATGTGTGAGGGACACTACTCAGTGATGTGTGAGACACAAACTTACTCAGTGATGTGTGAGACACTCCACAGTGATGTGTGAAAGACACTACTCAGTGATGTGTGAGACACTACTCATGATGTGAGACACTACGCAGTGAGTGTGAGACACTACTCAGTGATGTGTGAGACACTACTCAGTGATGTGTGAGACACTACTCAGTGATGTGTGAGACACTACTCAGTGATGTGTGAGACACTACTCAGTAATGTTGAGACACTACTCAGTATGAGTTATACATTACTCAGTGATTGTGAGACACTACTCAGTGAGGTGTAGACACTACTCAGTGAAAAGTTGGAGACACTAACAGTGATGTGTGAGACACTACTCCAGGATGTGTGAGACACTACTCGTTGATGTTGAGACAGCTACTCAGTGATGTGTTGAGACACTACAACCAGTGATGTGTGAGACACTACTCATGGATGTGTGGAGACCTACTCAGTGAGAGTATGAGAAACTACTCATGAGGTGTGAGACACTACTCATGATGTGTGAGACACTACTCCGTATGTGTGAGACACTAATCAGTGATGTGTGAACACTACCTCAGTGATGTGTGAACACTACCTCAGTGATGTGTGAGCCACTACTCAGTGATGTGTGAGAACACTACTCAGTGATGTGTGAGACACTACACCAGTGATGAGACACTATTCATAAATGTGTGAGACACTACTCATATGAGTTATACATTACTCAGTGATGTGTGAGACACTACTCTGATGGTGTGAGACACTACACAGTGATGTGTAGACACTACTCATGATGTTGAGACACTACCTCAGTGATGTGTGAGACACTACTCAGTGATGATGAGACACTACCTCAGTGATGTGTGAGATACTACCAGTGATGTGTGAGACAATACTCAGTGAGTGTTATACATTACTCAGAGATTAGGTGAGATCACGACTCAGGAAGTTTGAGACCCCTACTCAGTGATGTTGTGATACACTACTCAGTGATGTGTGAGCACACTACTCAGTGATTGTGAGACACTACTCAGTGATGTGTGAGATACACTCATGATGTAGAGACACAACTCAGTGATGTGTTATACATTACTCAGTGATGAGGTGAGGACCCAACTCAGTGATGTGTGAGTCACTGACTCAGTGATGTGTTTAACATACTCAGTGATGTTGAGACACTACTCAGTGAAGTTGAACACTACTCTGTGATGTGTGAGACACTACTCAGTGATGTGTTATACTACTCCAGTGATGTGTGAGACACTACACAGTGGATGTGTGAGACACTCACTCATGATGTGTTTATACATTACTCAGTGATGTGTGAGCATTACTCAGTGATGTGTGAGACACAACTCAAGCTGTGTGAGCCACTACTCAGTGATTGTGCGACACTACTGTGGAATGTGTAGACACTACTCAGTGATAGTGTGAGACACTACTACTCAGTATGTGTTATACATTAACTCATGTTGTGAGACATTCTCAGTGAGTGTGAGACACTACTCAGTGATGTGTTAGACACTACTCAGTGATGTGTGAGACACTACTCAGTGATGTGTGAGACACTACTCAGTGATGTGTGAGACACTACTCAGTGATGTGTGAGACACCCTCAGAGATGTGTGAGACACCTACTCAGTAATGTGAGAGAACACTACTTTCAGGGATGTGTGAGACACTACTCAGTGATGTGGTGAGACACAACTCAAGTGATGTGTGAGCACTCTACTCAGTGATGTGTAGACACTACTCTTGAAGTGTTAACATTACTCAGTGATGTGTGAGACATTACACCTCTTTTTTTACTACAGTATGTGTGAGACACTACTCAGAGATGTGTGAGACACAACTCCGTGATGAGTGAACACTACTCATTGATGTGTTGACCTACTCAGTGATGTGTGAGACAAACCTACTCGTGGATGTGTGAGACACTACTCAGTGATTTTGGAGACACTACCAGTGCTGTGTTAGACACTACTCAGTGATGTTGACACATTCTCAGTGATGTATGATACATTACTACTCATGATGTATGATACATTAACTCAGTGATGTGTGATACATTACACAGTGATGTGTGATACACTACTCAGTGATGTATGATACATTACTCAGTGATGTATGATACATTACTTAGCGATACATTACCTTGTTATGTATAATACATTACTGAATGGTCTTATACTTTAATTAACATTAAGTTCCAATAATTTAGTCAAACTGAGAAGTGTAAATCAATATTACTGGTGTCCCTGGTGTCCCTGGTGTCCCTGGTGTCCCTGGTGTCCCTGGTGTCCCTGGTGTCCCTGGTGTCCCTGGTGTCCCTGGTGTCCCTGGTGTCCCTGGTGTCCCCCCACCTCCTGGTGTCCCTGGTGTCCCTGGTGTCCCTGGTGTCCCTGGTGTCCCTGGTGTCCCTGGTGTCCCTGGTGTCTCTGGTGTCCCTGGTGTCTCTGGTGTCCCTGGTGTCCCTGGTGTCCCTGGTGTCCTGTGTCCCTGGTGTCCTCTGGTTGTCCCTGGTGTCCCTGGTGTCCCCTCCCCCCCTTTGGTGGGACCCCGGTCTCCCTGCTCCCTGGTCTCCCTGGTCTCCCTGGTGTCCCTGGTGTCCCTGGTGTCCCTTCCAAGGTGGCGCCATTATGCTGATGAAGGCAACTGAAATAACTCTTCCCCTTCCTAAGAAACCTGATGTCATCCCCATACCCTGGGTTCTATGACCCCTACAGATTTAGCGCTCTAACATGAATACTAATAATAATGTCTCTTGCTTAACATTCTAGGGAGCTGTGCAAGCATGATAACATCCATAAAAATTCAGTTAAATTAAGAAGTTTATAACACATAGATTGTTGGTGAAAGTTTTCAGTTACTGAAGAGGGTCTCTGCTTGAAGCCGAAATATACAGATCTCTCTTACCTGTGTTTAATTTGTGTTAAATTGTGTCTCACTTTCCTAATAACCGTTGACAGCAATTCTGGGATATACGGTTTGTAATTGTTCTCCGAGAGGATTCTTGTGGATTTAACGTTTAGTTCTGACTGGAATAACAATCGTTCTCCGAATATAACTGAATCTTGCCCGTGCTCTGATTACAACGAAGTTTTAATGATCATGAATTAGCAAGGGTTAGTTATTCCTGACAGTCTAATATCTGCTAACTGCTAATGTTCAGGAGGTTCTGTTGATGTCTCTGACTGAGGAGGCTGTACATTGCAAAGAACCTGGAAAAAGAATAGAAGCTAATATATAGCAACTGGAGTTAAGTCGTAACGAACGGCTATCAATGAATAAACAAGAATGGACGAGAACTGTGGTCCTGACTGGTAGCAGGTCAGCGCTGTAATAGTTAGCTACGTAGCTTACTCTATCTGTAAATGCCTGCATCAGAGGTCACCAGCTGTGACCTTATTGTCCCGTCCCACAGCCCTCAGAATCTTTCATAGCGCATCTATTCTCATACACTTCAAAGACATATAGCATGTGAACTCATGTCATAATGAACGACTGTTAGTGAATAAACAGAAGGGACAGTTGGGTCACAGCTCGTGGCCTCTGATGCAGACAATTCACAGTAGTGCTGCCTATGAACCTTCCTCGTAGTCCAGCGATACAACGTTGGACCTATATATACGTCGTGCCGAATAGATAAAATTGGTCAAATAACAATAACTCATTTAAAATTAAGTCCTTTCTAAAATTTTCTCTTATATGTTTAAAGATTTTTTTTCATTTATGTTAATGTAAAAATTAATAATTTTGTACCAAAAGAAACATTAGAAAAACTTTCCCTAAACCTTATACAGCTCAATTTAATTTAGCCTAATCCAACCAACATACTATTTTAGATAATTTATACAATAACTTAATATATGTGGTAAATTACCGACAAAATTAAAGTAAAAGGACACAAGGTACAGCTTAAATTGATGTTATATGTTACCAAAGTAATAAATTTTATAGTCTTTTACTAACGTGAAAATTAATTGTTCTTCCATACTGTATTACTACTACTACATACTATACTACTACTACTCCTACTACACTACTACTACTACTACACTACTACTCCACTACTACTACTACCACTGGTATTACACCTCACTCTAAGCCTATATATACCCTCTGTGTCCATGTATCGTTTGTAACAACTTGTCAAAGCTCCTGGAGAGCGAAACGTTGCCACATTAGTTGCACTTGTGTCCTTTTACTTTACAATAATTTAATAATAAACAAACACAATGAAATATATTTTTCTCGTTAGGTTCAGAATGATTTTTCCGAAATTATTGCATACACAAATTTTCGCTTGCCTTATTCGGCAAAAAGAGCGCTGCTATACATATATGGTACATAAGACTTAAATGATTCATTGCTGGCACAAAGATGGCATAGACAGTACGTGAGGTGTGAGGGAAACATTGCAAGTACATATTGCTACGTGTTTATCACAGATTATAATGTGAAAAGTCTTATCCAGCTCCTCAGAGCTTGGGCGCGTGACCAAGATACAGCAGGCATTACCCCTCTGAACCGCAGCACTGAGTCGCTGGAACAGAAAACTAGCTTCCTGGGATCCCTATTCACCTGTAGTCTTTGCCTAGTTCCTTAAGGAACTTAGGTACAACACCCTTTACCCCATGGGCCAAGGTCCTATCAGCCTAGGGAACAACATATAATGGATGGTCAAGTCTCCAAATTTTCTAGACTTTTGGGACTCCCTGAAGCTGGCGGCTGCCCCTCCTTCCTTCCTGGTGTACTGCAGATAGTTATCAACCATTGTGAATTCTAAACACACACACAAACACATGCTGATTAGACAGGTCGACAAAGAGACCTGGACAGGCTCGACGCGTGGTCCAGCAACTGGCTCCTGGAATTTAACCCCGCCAGATGCAAAGTCATGAAGATCGGGGTAGGGCAAAGAAGACCGCAAACAGAGTATAGGTTAGGTGGCCAAAGACTGCAACCCTCACTCAAGGAGAAAGATCTAGGGGTGAGTATAATACCGAGCACGTCTCCGAAAGCACACATCAACTGCTGCGGCATATGGGAACCTGGCAAACCTATGAATAGCGTTCCGATACCTCAGTAAGGAATCGTTCAAGTCTCTGTACACTGTGTACGTCAGGCCCATACTGGAGTACCCAGCACCAGTTAGGAACCCACACCTAGCCAAGCACGTAAAGAAACTAGAGAAAGTGCAGAGGTTCGCAACAAGACTAGTCCCAGAGCTAAGGGGTATGTCCTACGAGGAAGGTTAAGGGGAATCGACCTGACACACTGGAGGACAAGAAATGGGGGACATGAAAAGACATACAAAATACTGAAGGAATTGTCAAGGGGGCAGAACAGAATTTTTCCCCAAAAAGGGGGACAAACAACAAGGAGAAAAATTTGGAAGTTGAAGACCAGATAATCACAGGGATGTTAGAAGATTTCTTCAGTCACAAGTATCAAAGGGGAATATTTGGAAGCATGTAATGGAGCAGGTCCATTCAGGGCTTTAAGCAGGGTATATAAAGCCAGGGTCAGGGAGAGTGCCCAAAGTGGCCATGAAGAGGGGGGGGCCGGGACTATGATTCGACCCCTCAACCCAAAACTAGGAGTACACACAAACACATACAATACACCAGACACACAATAAGACAGGATTTTTCCAAAAAGGGGAACACAGAAACAAGGGGTCACATTTGGAATTTGAAGCCGATAACAAAGGGATGTTGGGAAGTATTTTTTTCAGTCAAAGAGTTGTCGGGAAGTGGAATAGTCTAAAAAGGATGTTGGAGGCAGGAACCACACATGTTTTTAAACAGTATTAGAGCTCAGGAGCGGGGAGAGAGAGGCCCTAGTACTTTCATGAAGAGGGGGGGCCAGAGCTTTATAAAATATATATAAATAATAAAATAAATATAATAATATAATATATATTAATATATATTATAAATATTATATATATATATATATATATATATGTCGTCCCGAATAGTAAAACTGGTCAATTACAAAAACTCATTTAAAATTAAGCCTTTTAAATTTTCTCTTAACGTTTAAAATTACATATTTTTCTAATGTTAATAAAAACTTTTAATTTTTTGCACCAAAAAGAATCAAAAAAACTTCCCCTAACCTTATTAAATAAAGCAATTTATTTTAGCCAAACCCCAAACTAAATATATTTTAGATTTTTTTTCAGCAATTTAATACAAAAACAACACAGTGAGAATATTTTTTTCGTTAGGTTCAGAATGATTTTGGGAAATTTTTGCATACACAAACTTTCACTTTTCCTATAGGCAAGATGAACGTTCTATTTAAGGGCCAAGATCGAAATTTGCCTATTTTGGCACGACATTATATATATATATAATATATATTTTAAAAATATAATAAATTTAAAAAATATATATATATATATATATATATATATATATATATATATATATAATATAAAATTTCCCAAAAAATGGGGCCGTCTCCCACCGAGCGGGGGTGCCCCCAAAAAAGAAAGAAAACCCCCAAAAAAGAAAATATTTTCATAAATTCAACATTTTTAAACCACACTCAAAACTTTTCACTGTTTTTGCAGAGGTCTCAAAATACAACATTTTTAGAAGCATAACTTAAAAAAAAAACACAACAAACCCCCCAAAACTGCCAATATCCCAAACCCCCCCTTTAAAGTGCGGGGCTTTGTCCCTTCCCTTTTCCGGCCCAAACCCCGACTATATAAAAAAAACCGGGTTTCCCCCCCCGAATCCCTTCACTAAATATTACCCTGTTTCACACTCCAACAGATCCGGGCCCCAAGTACCATTCGTCTCCATTCACTTAAACTAACCCCGCTTAGGCACCTTGCTGGAACCAACCCCCTTTCCCACAAAACCCCCTTTTAAACCCCCTTTTTCCCAAACCCCTTTTTCGAGGCAAACCCCCTACCCCAAAACCCCCCTTCCCCCATAATTTTTTAATGCTTTCCATGTCTTTCCCAAACTTTAAACCTTTTCTCCTAAAGGAAAAAACCACCTCAAAAAACCCCTCTTCTGCCCTCTGACTAATACTTTTATTAACTCCCCACCCTTTCCTAATTTCCCCCCTTTTCCAAATTTTTCTGCATAATATTTACACCACACTTTCCCCTTTAAACGGGACACCCTCCCCTCCCCTCCAACCGTCCCCTCCGCTGCATTTTCCACCAAGCTTCCCCTCCAATAAGAGTGTTGGTACTACTAAAATTTCATAAAACCCCCTTTTTTTGCCCCATAGATAACGTTTTTTGCCCCCAAACTTTTACCTAAAGGGGCCCCCACCCCCTTTTTTTTTTCCCCCCATCAATTCTATGTTTAAAACCCTCATTTTTCCCCATAAACCCATCCGCCGACACGTCAACCCCCCAATACCCGGGAAAACTTTCACTTCTTCCATACTCCTCCCTCCCCAATTTGATATCCAATATTTCTTTATCTAAATCATTTGATACCCTCATCACCTTACTCTTTTCTATGTTCACTTTCAACTTTCCACCTTTACACACATTCTCAAACTCATCCACTAACCTTTGCAATTTTCTTTAGAATCTCCCATAAGCACAGTATCATCAGCAAAAAGTAACTGTGTCAATTCCCATTTTGAATTTGATTCCCCAAAATTTAATCCCACCCCTCTCCCGAACACCCTAGCATTTACTTTCCTTTACAACACCCCATCTATAAATATATTAAACAACCATGGTGACATTACACATCCCTGTCTAAGACCTACTTTTACCGGGAAGTAGTCTCCCTCTCTTCTACACACCCTAATATAATATATATATATATATATATTATATATATATATATATATATATATATATATATATATATATATATATATATATATATAATACATATATATATATATATATATATATAATATATATATATATATAATATATATATATAATATATATATATATATATATATATATATATATATATATATATATATATATGTTATATATATATATATATATAATCCCAAGAATGTAAGGTAAATTAATATATAACTTAACTGCAATTAAGAGTTAGTATAATTAGTAAAATTGTATAAGCAATGGAAGTAAGTTAGTTTTTATACTGCATAACATTACCGTTAATAACAGACTAGGATAGGAACAAGGGGATACCCTGATTCTTGGGAAGATGTAATGACACCTGGCTACCTGCCATTCTCCAGGCGCTAGACCCCTTACATATTGAGCGCTTCCTCTAGAATATTCAGTAATATAAATATAATAAATCTTCCTCACCGACGCCTGATGATTGCAGATCTTCATATTATCATCATAGAATGTTAATGCTGGGCAGGACATCTCCTTGACGACATGGTTGGCGGCACACTGGCAGTACTTGGAGCAATCACTGGGGTGGGAGAACTTTTCATCCAGGCTACACAGGTGGGGACTCCAGGTGGGGCAGCTGGACTCCGCCCCCAACACCGTCACCACCACCGTCACCACCACCACCACCACTAACCAAGTCTTCATCTATCGTGATTATACGAATCATAAAAAGTAGCTATTTTGAGAGAAACAGAGCGAGACTTACATATGGCACAATAAATGTGACTGAAAAACTGATGCAATAAATACATTTAACAAATTTATTTTTAAACAAGCTGTAGGTTATTAATTAACATGTATACCTGATCACGGATAAGAAACAAAAATGTTGAAACACATGCAAAAACACAATGCTAGAATATTACACATTAGCCCAATAACGAGTGAGATTCCGACAACATGTTGCAAAAAACGAATTGACACAGCTCTACACGGAGCGAAATGACAAAAAAAAGAAGCTGGATCTACATATATATATATATATATATATATATATATATATATATATATATATATATCTTTTACCAACCATGTGAGATCATTATACCTTGAGAGAGAATCTAATTTACTCTGTGACTGCTGATGGTGGTGAGGTTGCCGGGACTGATCCTTCCAGCTAGTGTGGTGGCTGATGTGTCTGAGTGAGATGACAAAACTATTGCAAAATGCAGTCAACTGCTGACCATATATAGGCCTCCTGGAATTGCTTCTTACTGCCAGGTATATCCGATATGGTACCAGTAAGATGTGATTAACACACTCCCACGACGACCTGCTGATAGGCCTTTAGGGAATATCAAAACAGGGTCAAACCATCTGTAATCTGAAAATCTCAAATTCCACTTTCAAACTGAGTTTTCTCAATTGTAAATTGCCTTCTTTTGCAGTACTCGTCAATCACGAGGCAACACTTATCACTCCAGTCATCAACCTCTCTAAAACCTGCCTCGCCACATTCTTCACGGGTCCATCATTATCATGCTTAATATATTAATCAGTTTGAAGATGACAGTGATAAGTGCCTATAATGACGTTAAGATGATAAACTCACACAGCAGCGAGATAGATCACTTTTAATGACCCGTAGAGCAAAACTACAGAAAAATCTATGAAGATATATGGCAAAACTTACAATAATTTACTAGTACTGAAACAACACCATCTAGTATTTCCTAAAACATATCATCACCGACTTGGCGACAGTTTTCTCTTTATCATCCTTGAAGGGTAAAGGGAATATCTGGATACTAATGAAAGGGCTTTTAATTTAAAGAGATGTCCAAGCCTTTCTTTGATTCAACATGACTGCTTCCTTATGTTCCCCTGGCAGTGTATGGTCCTTATGGGTTTAGTAACCGTTGTGTAACAACACAGAGAGGAAGAGACTACAATTCAACGGAGGCTGTAAGAAATGTAAATTTATAATTGATTGGGATTTGCAGACTATAACTGGTATAATCATAACAAGATGATAACACGGAGATATACCCTGAGAAATGTGTATTCCTAAGTGTATATACACCGAGAAATGTATATTTTTCAGTGTATATACTATGACAAACGAAAATTTTCTTAGTGTACAAAACGCAATGAGAATTTCTCAGTGTATAAACACTGAAAGTTGCCTTTGGTCCCTGTTCCTCTTAGTTAAAAATTAATTTTGGTTAAAGATCTACAGTGAATAGATCATAACTCACAGAAACTAACTCTTATATACGACATTTCTGACTAACGTGGCCAAACTCGCTAAATTATACAGCAAGAAGAACCAGTCTTCTTGCTGGTCACTGAACCTCGTCTTCACATCAAAGTTATTGCTCTTCATGCTTATTTATCTACAGATCTACAACGGTATATTAGATCTGTCGTAGGTCAAAAGGATCTCAGCACTTGTGAGGGGAAAGTTTCGCCGAACACCTGGATTTTCTTTTCGTGCTGCAACACAAAATTGAGTTGCTTCTCACGGGGAGAATTGCTATTTGCCTGGAGACTTAATTTGTCTGCCTAATAATCATAGTATGCTCCTTTGGCAACTGTGTATATGCACTGAGATATATATACTCCTGTGTATGTACACCAAGAGAGGTATATCTTTGTGTATACAGACCAACGGATGTATATGTGAGAGTATACCAACTGCGATGCGTATGTGAATATACACCGAGAGGTGTATGTCTCTCAGTGTATATATACGCAGTGATATGTATTTCTAAGTGTAAGAAGTGTATACACCGAGAGGTGTACACTCGCTGAAAGTTTACTTTAATCTCTATTTTAGAAATTTAAGTTAAGGTAAAATTTAGCCAAGCGTGCAGTCAATAGGCTTTGAACCTAACAAACATATTGCCTACTACTCCCGTATTTATGTGTATAGTTACACGTGTACTCACTCATTTGTACTTTCAGAGACTAGTTTCAATTCTGACAGCTGGGGTACTGTTAAATCCAATAACAATAATATTACATTCATGGGGAGGCTATATCCGTAGGGGTTACACAATGAATGGGTAATGCGAATTGATCAGGATCGAGCCATGGAAAGGAGAGGTTAGCTTCAGTTTCTAGGATCAAGAGACCACAACCGGCATCAAGGCACCACCACTGAAGGTAATAATAATAATAATACTATTAATGTTCTCTTTTTTAGTGGTGTCACTCCTCTGAACCTTTTTTTTCATATTAATCTTTCTAATACATGATCTGGGTATACGGGAACCCTTGTATATTTCACAGGATATATACACCGACAGGCATAATTCTGTCAGCGTATATATGCAGAGACCTTGTTTCAGTCCCTGTAATAGGGATTCAAACATTATTGTCTGGTGGTGAAAAGGATACCTTGTAGCCTTAATGGTCCTGTTACAGTCGATAGTAAGTAATTTTATTTAAGCAGAGGTACATTCTGTGTCATGGGCTGCCACTGTTACCTTCTGCCTTGCGTCAGAGAATTTCCCCTCATATCTGTTGCTGTCTTGTACCATGGCATAGCTCCTGACGAAGCATGGTAGTGCGAAAGATCTAGAGCTAAAGATTTTCATCCCCATGTGGCTTGTTTTGCATTGTTAAGATTGCCTGTTTGCAGTTGTATTGCAAGTACACATAAGTACAATTATCGTGCGTAGTGTAGATAACTCATGATAAATCAAAAGCCAAGGTGGCTTATTTCCACTTAGGTTCTCGAAAAGGTTTTAAAAAACCCCTTTAAAGTCAACAAAAACCGGCCCGTGTATGATGTGGGGTGTACTGAGCACATATTCCCCTTTAATTTTAAAGCTTTGGGAAAATTTTTATTCCCGAATTTTCGCGAAAAAGGGCTACGTTTAAAAATTAAAAATGCAAGCGAAAATTTTTGGGGAAAAAATTTTTTAAAACCAGTTCGCTGCGCCACGGGTTTCGGTGGCGTTTAGGAAATACTTTTTTTTATGTCTTCAAGTGTTTTTTTCTTTAAATCTTTGATATGGGTAATTTAAGCCCTTTGTAAATTTTTTTTTGACAGTCAAATATTATGTTTTTAACCAAAATTCCCAAATTCATAACGTATGTATGAGAAAAAAGCAAAAAAACAACCACAACAGCACGAGTAAATTACCCAGTAAATAGGAGTAGCATTAAGTGGGTACACACCAATTTTAGGCACTGTTGGGGGTGGCATCCGGGGTAAAAAAACCCGAGAGAAGCAAACAAAAGAACCTGCAATTTTTACTTTTTTTAAATTTTTTTCTGGTTTAAACTAACTCTCAGGGTTCAAAATCCAGATAAAACCTTTCAATATCGCTGCCTAAAAAGTTAGTCAAAAATAGTTGGGTTTAAAGGGTCGGTTTGTCGGGAAAACAGGAAAAAGTTTTTTTCCAAAATTAAAGCCCCTTAGTAATATGATGATCCACAGCGGGGTTTTTGGGCCATCTGTCCGAGGCCTTCCACGGTTAAGGGTTCACCCCTTTAAAAAATTATGGTTAGGTTGTGTTAAATGTGTGTAGTTTACATATTAATAACATAAAAAATAAACAAAACACACTTTTCCTTGGGTCTTTTTCTTCCTCTTTATTTCTCTAAAGTCTTTTTCCCACTTTATGATACATACATTTTAAACCCCTACAGTAGTTAACCCATAAAAATCCCCCCCCAAAGAAAAAATATTTTTAATTGTAATAGAAAAAAGATATTTTCAGTTTTTTGGGAAAGGGGTTTAAATATGCTCGTTTTAGACATGTACTTTGTGATATTTTTTGTATATACAGCATTAAAAAATTTATTTCGACCACAATTTTTTTCACAGTAGATTCGGAAAGGAATTCCCTAACTGTTTTTTTATGGACTTAAAATGTAAAAAATCGGTTTGGAAATTTAAGTAAATTTCTAACTTTTTTTTCTCTTGAATTTTCGTTTAGCTGAAATTAGTCAGGATGTATAATAATAATAATAATCATAATAATAATAATAATAATAATAATAATAGTTAATAATAATAATATCATCGACACCATGCCCAGCCCTTGTAGGTAGGGTAGGTGCCTGAGCCCGAGCTTGTAGCTTACAACCCTGCCATTCCCATTAGCCCCCTTGGGGCGGGGATGGCAGACCAGAGAGGCCTAGCTTCTCCCTACGAGCCCCGTGAGGGCGGGGAATGTGGCTAAGCCTGGGGACCGTTGGTCCCAAAGATGAGGGGGTACTTGTGCCTCCTCCCATGGGAGACTTAGGTCTCAGACACTCCCAAGACAGGGAGCCAAGGCCGGGCCACCACTTGGAAAAGGCCAGGGCCGGGAGAATACCGGTCAATCTTTAATAATAATAATAATAATAATAATAATAATAATAATAATAATAATAATAATAATAATAATAATAATAATAATAATAATATTTCTACTAGTACATGTACATGGTGTACAGGTCATTCGTGACATCAATGACATACTATATAGAAAACCGCTTGTTACGCAAGGCATTTCGGGCAAATCAGTTCAGTTTTGTCCCAGGATGCGACCCACATCAGTCCACTAACATCCAAGTATCCATTTTACTGATGGGTGATCATGGATAATTGGTGTAAGGAAACACGTCCAGTGTTTCTACCCTTCGCCGGGAATCGAACCCTGACACTCACCCTGTGAAGCAAGAGCATTTGCCACCACGCCACGGGCCACTGTGGTTGGTTAATTGGGTTGAAAGCCTATCGACTACGCGATGGTTATTAAGGCTGCTAACAACCTGCTTCCTATCAGTTAAAGTTGCTTTAATCCCTGAAACAGAGATTAAAGCTCTGAAGTATATATACACCGAGAATATATACCTTTGCCGGGAGATTAGCTAAGATTTGTCACGAAACAGGACAAGTGTTACCTGACGCAGGTATTAAGTCATATGATGACCCGCCGTTTGAACTTTTCGTCATCTGACCGAGGCCTTCCGCTGGCTTACCTCTCCACCCCTTTGTTTGTACCCAAGGGTAACAGGAATAATGAAAAAGCCAGGATGAGCCCATGGTTTACCCAAAGGTGCAGGGAGGCAAAAACCAAGTGTGCTAGGGAATGGAAGAAATATAGAAGGCAAAGGACCCAGGAGGATAGGGAGAGCAGTCGTAGAGCCAGAAACGAATATGCACAGATAAGAAGGGAGGCCCAAAGACAATATGAAAATGACATAGCAGCGAAAGCCAAATCTGACCCGAAACTGTTGTACAGCCACATCAGGAGGAAAACAACAGTAAAGGACCAGGTAATCA